ACTCCACATAATATAAGCCCGCCTAAACGGAATTTTTTAGAAAACACATATAGGAGCCCCCTCTTACAGAGGAACACCTTCCAGGGGTCACACTGAAAATTTTTTTCCCAGGGGGAGGAGACCCTATTGGGGGAACAGACTTTCACTTTACACCTTTCATAGCAGCTTTAGGATCACTATTTTGACTTTTAGTTTACTTTCCAAAAGCGCAGATTTTTTGTTGCAATCGGGGGTAAGAGTTTTGCCGGAATTTAAGTGAACTTGGAATAATTCAGAGACGTTGTTGCAGGGAAATGCCGGTGCTAACTGCGCCAACCCTCCCTTTCTATGACAATTATATACTTATAAGTGAAGAACTTCTTTTAAAAAAAAGGATTTACTTATACGTAATAACCATTTAAAATATTTCTCTCCCTTCAATGTCAAGTTGCTAAAAATATTTAAAAAAAAAATCAAAATGCAAAAGGCATAATCCGATTTGTCAGCACTGAAAATGCACATTCCTGTCATCTGCCAACATCCATTAGGAAGGCTTCATTAACCTTGCACAGAAAGTAAACAACATAAAGACTACATTAAGACTGATGTCTCTCTGTCTGCCTTTGTTCTGAGAATGAAGAACTCAAAGTAAAAAATTGTTAGCTTGCCTTCAGGACAAAGTGACAGTGACTGTACATAACTCACCCCCTCAGGCCTGTATACTTAGCTAGTCATGCATCCCTCTCTGCCTCCCTGCTGCAGCATCCCCTTCTGTCTAGGTTGTGGTTTTGAGCTGGTGATGGAGCTTAGACCGGGGTATTACATCAAGGCACCTCCACATGGCAGTGGGATCTGAGCACTATCACATAGTGGTGATCACGTGCTTCCCCCCATACTTGGAAGTAGGGATGACTGACACCAAGTATTCGGGCGACTATGAGTCCCCCGATACTTACCCTCGATACCGGAACTTCCATTCAGAGGGAGATTTCCTCTGACCGGCAGTGCCACAAAGGAACATGGAGCAGGCTTCCTGGCAAAATCAGGAAGCCGGGCGATGACCACGCTTCCCGATAGTCCGGCCTCGATGCTGATTGGCTGGGAAGCCTGCTTCCCAGCCAATCACCAGCAAGCCAGCCAAACGGCACGGAGCCGGCTTTCGCGGGCAATGAAGAAGCCAGGTGGCGGGTAATGGAACTCCGCCCGGCTTCCTGATTGGCCGGGACACCAGTTCCATGCTAGCTGAGCACTGAAAGATAAATATCGATACTCGTCACGTGATACTGAAAAACCGCTATGGGTGCATCCCTACTTGAAAGCTTTGTTAATGAGGGTTCAATCAGTGCAGAGAGGCAATTTGGGAGTGTGACTGGGTAAGTTACATGCCTTGGGGCACTTCTGCAATGCAATCAAGCTGCATATACAGTAATCCATATGCCTCTTTTTTATTTTTTTAACTTTTGCTAAGAGCTGCCCCAAGGGTTAAAAACACTGAGCTGGCAGCACTAAAGGCCATGACACACTGCACGCGAAGCAGCGCGGAGCGGTGGCGCGCTGCCTTTGCGAGCAGTGTGTCATGTCACTTTCTTCTCGGCACCTCAGCTTGCGAGAGCTCGCGGAGCTGAGCGTGCCGAGATGAACAATTTCAACTTCAGCCAATCGGCTCGCGCGTATAAACCGGCGCGACGGGATGAGACGTCTGGCTGGTTGTTACAGACGAGCCGATTGGCTGAAGGTGCAGTCAATCATCTGACTGCACTCAGCTCACACACTGCACGCGAAGCTCCGTGCGGGAGAGCTTTGCTTCGCTCTGCACGGCTTCGCGTGCAGTGTGTCACGGCCTTTAGTCAGACTGCTGTTCACACACAAGCAGCAGTCCAGCTGTCTGACACAGCCCTTGACGCAGCTTGATCTAATCAACAGCACTTCTAAAATGGTGCCCATACACTGCACGATCCTCGTACGAGAATCAGTGGGAAATCCTGCGATCGTACGAGAATCGCGCAGTGTGAAGACGTGCAACCGTTTCTACTGTACGGTCTTTTGTCTAAGGCCCCGTATCGCGGCTATTTACCGCGCGATATCGCTCTCCAATGCATCTCAATGGGTCTCTGTCCGTCGCTGTCGCGGGTCGTGCGTCGCTACAGCAGGACCCTTTTTGGAGCGGATTTTGCCGCGATTCTAGCTTGCTCAATGCAAGCATTTGCGCGATATCGCGCGATTTGCGAATCGCTCAATGTGAATGGGGCCTAAGGCCTTGTTCACACCAAGCGCCGAGCAGGTGCAGAGCAGAGCAGATGCACACCGGATCAAAACTGCGTCCAATGTATTCCAATGTTATTTTTTGCTCCAGTTCACATCGCAGCGTGCAGTTCCAGAGCAGGTCCAGAGCAGGTGAAAAAACTGCAGCAGGCCCTATTTTACCTGCTCTGGATCTGCTAACGCATCAAAAATGCATGCAAATGCCTGGAACGCACTGAAAGCCCATTTTAAAAGTACTTTTTTTTTTAGCCAAAAACATCAAAAAACGCATCTAAAAGACTAGAGTGCGTGTGCAGAAACCTGACCGGATCTGCTCTGCATGTGGTGTGAACAAGGCCTAAGGAGCATGCTAGAAAACCAGCCGAAAATCTTACGATTTTCGGCTTGTTTGTGGCATGCTCGGGAGACAAATGCTGAACGGGCCGGTGTACGCACGCGCACACTGCCCGTTCAGCATTGCGGTCATCGGAGTCCCTGCCCCTCAGGGGGGCGGACTTGCGATGATCGCAAGTACGATCTGCCTGTCCAAGATGGGCAGATCGTACGTTTTTTAAATTACTTTACAACCCTCGCAAGACTAAGGTCTTGCGAGACCGGATCTGCTCTGCATGTGGTGTGAACAAGGCCTAAGGAGCATGCTAGAAAACCAGCCGAAAATCTTACGATTTTCGGCTTGTTTGTGGCATGCTCGGGAGACAAATGCTGAACGGGCCGGTGTACGCACGCGCACACTGCCCGTTCAGCATTGCGGTCATCGGAGTCCCTGCCCCTCAGGGGGGCGGACTTGCGATGATCGCAAGTACGATCTGCCTGTCCAAGATGGGCAGATCGTACGTTTTTTAAATTACTTTACAACCCTCGCAAGACTAAGGTCTTGCGAGGGTTGTAAAGTGTATGGCCACCTTTAGGAAGCGAGAGTGATTTTGATTAGAGCAGTGTTCAGTGGGTTGCCTCAGGCAGCAGGACAGCCGAGAGCAATGTTGATTAGAGCAGTATTCAGAGGGGCATGTCAGACCACAGGAGAACCGAGAGAGATGTTAAGAGCAGGGCTCAGTTGGGCATGTCAGATTGCAAGAGAGCCAAGAGCAATGTTAATTATAGCAGTATTCAGAAGGGCATGTCAGACCACAGGAGAACCAAGAGAACAGGGTTCATTTGGGAGTCCGTATTACAGGGGAGCTGAGAGCGATGTTGATTACAGCAGTGTTCAGTGGGGCTCGTCAGGCAGCAGGACAGACAAAAGATGTTGATTAGAGCAGCGTTCAGTTGGATGTGTCAGATTGCAGGAGAGCCAAAAGCTATTTCGATCAGAGCAGTGTTCAGTGGGGCATGTCGGACCACAGGAAAGCCGAGAGAGATGTTAGGAGCAGGGTTCAGTGGGGCATGTCGGACCACAGGAAAGCCGAGAGAGATGTTAGGAGCAGGGTTCAGTGGGGTGCTTTGGACCGCAGGAGAGCTAAGAGCAAAGTGCGGTGCAACATGTCGGAACATCAGAGAGCTTAGAGCGATGTTGATTAGAGCAGGGTTCTGTGGAACCCTTGGACAGCAGTAGAGGTGGGCCGCTGCTAGTGTGTGAAAGCTGAGGTCTCTCTCTCCCAGTGCTGCCAGTACAGGGTTTTAACACTTGCACACAGCTGATAAAGTAAAAAAAAAAAAAATCAATGTTTATTACTGTTTATGCTGCACAGTAATTAGGAGGGTTCAATTAGGTTTTAAATAATGCATTTTGTATGCGCTACATTATGCATGGGGCACAACTTTACAGGCCTTTAAATACATTTATTGCATGCTCTTAACTAGGGATGCACCAATACTGATACTAGTATTGGTATCGGTGCTGATACCGAGTATTTGGGCAAGTACCCGAACTTGCCCAAATGCTCCGATACTTACCCCCGATACTGGAACTTTCAATCAGAGGGAGATCTTCCTCTAGCTGGCAATGCCGAGGGAGCATGGAGCCGGCTTCCTTTCCAATCAGGAAGCCGGGTGGTGGGTTGTGACTCGCCTTCCACTTCCTGATTGGCTAGGAAGCTGGCTTCACTACTTGGTAGGCAGCCTGACTTCCTAACCAAATCAGGAAACCAGGCGGCTTGTTATAACTCACCTCCCGGCTTCCAGATTGGTCAGGAAGCCAGGCTGCCTAGCAACAAGTGAAGCCGGCTTCCTAGCCAAATCAGGAAGCCAATTCATGAACTACTTGGAAGCCGACTTCCCTTGTTGCTAGGAAGTCTGACATCCTGACCAATCAGGAAGCCGGACGGCACCTCATGACCTGCCGCACGGCTTCCTGATTGCTCAGGAAGCCCCGGCAGGTGAAGCCGGTGTTCTTTCGATAGAACTCCGGCTTCCCAGGCAATCAGGAAGCCGGGCAGCAGGTCATGATCCGCCACACGACTTTCTGATAATTGGGGCACACGGCACCCTTTCTACTTGGTATTGGTGAGTACCAAAAAAAAAAAAAATATCAGTACTCGTACTGGATACCGAAAAACCGGAATCGGTGCATCACCACTCTTAACCCAAGAAAAACCCATATACACTGTATTTACATGTAGTACCATTCATCCCTTCAGGAACCCATGGACTGCAGAAAAACGACAACATTATAACACAGATATGTGAACTGAACTACAGTAACAAGCGTGTTTTGTATTATAAGGAGTATAGTGTCTGCTGCAGCATCAGAGTTCTAGATTAATGCGGCCTGGCATTTCACCAGAACCGGTTATCGTGAAGGTAACACCGAGAACTCTTACCTGGCATCTCCTTTGGATAGGTTGGTGTTGCTGGGGTAAAGAATGACTTGGTCCTTTTCTACGTCCACCACACATTTTGTATGAAGGTCCAACTCTAAAAACACAAAGCACAGAACACACACAGTTAGGTCAGAGCCCCCAGCATCTTCGTTGTGTGCAAGACAACGGCCGAACAGAGGAATCCGCAAAGTTCCTTAAACAAAAGGCAAGTTATACGGCAAGTAAGTTTTCTCAAGTTATACATTTTGATGATGGACAGACCCGGACAGTGTTGGGCAATCACCAAGTATTTACTCAGGCAGCCAACAGACATCAGGCGGCAGCTGGACATTACAACAATGAATGGCTAGGGCCAGCTGAATACAAAATAAAACCCAGCAACTGGATAAAGGTTTACTAACCGTCCAATCGCTTTTCTTCTCCCTGCGAAGCCTCAAATATATACGACATTTTCACTAAAACTGCCAGAGCAGACCATCTGTCATCTCAACCATCGTCATTGCCCCCCAAAATGTTTGTTAAATGGGCTACTCCTCCCATGCTCGCCTCCAGGACTTCACTAGAGTCTCTCCCATCCTCTGGAACTCTTTACTCCAACCTGTCCGTCTGTCTCCCACACTGACTGCCTTAAAGGCAATCCCTTAAGGCTCATCTCTTCAGGGAAGCCGATCCCACCTCAACCTGACCGCTCAACCATCACGTTCTCAGACAACTCATCCCCCACACAGCTACCTCCTCATGTATCACTTCCCCCTCCCTTTGGTCTCAAAGTATCACCCCAACCGTCCCCTCCGCTCATCCCAAAGACCTCCTGCTTTCCAGTTCCCTCATCAACTCCTACCATGCTCGCCTCCAGGACTTCATTAGAGCCTCTCCCATCCTATGGAACTCTCCACCCCAACCTGTCCGTCTGTCTCCCACACTGACTGCCTTTAAGCGATCCCTTAAGACTTGTCTCTTCAGGGAAGCCGATCCCACCTCAACCTGACCACTGAAATATCACATTCTCAAACAATTCATCCCCACACAGCTACCTCCTCATGTATCACTTGC